CGCGCGCTGCTCCGGGCCGCTCCCGGCGCCCGGGCGGCAGAGGCTCAGCCAGGGCCTGCGGGGCGTCGGAATCCAGGGCTGCGGGGTGACTGAGCTTCGCCAGGCAGGGTGAGGTGGGCGGGCTGGGCCGGGCGCTGCCTCTCCTGGGGGCCCCTGCCCCACTTTCTTTCTCCCGGGACCTGCGTCTTCTGCTCCATCCCTGCGGGGCCTGACCTTCCTGCGGGCGCCCAGCTCGCCAGGGGACCTTGTCCCCGCCCTGGCCTGGGCCGAGCTCAGTGCGGACTCGCGGGGCAGGCGCTGGGGCTCCCTCGCCACCCCTGGGGGGACCTGGGTGGGAAGGAGGACTGGGGAGGGAGGTGTGGCAACTCGCGCCGGCGCCAAAGTTCAGACCGAGCTGGTTTGGATAACAATCACGACGCTCCCTCCCTCTCCCTGTCATTTTTAGGGTGTCTCTGCGCGCCGTCGTCTCCCTGGGTTTTCACCGGAGCCCCACACCCACCGGCCTCTGAGTCCTGGAAGAAAGGGGCGGCTCCCCGCGCCCCCCGTCCGCCCCGACCATGGGGAGCAAGGCCCTGCCGGCGCCCATCCCGCTCCACCCGTCGCTGCAGCTCACCAACTACTCCTTCCTGCAGGCCGTGAACACCTTCCCCGCCGCCGTGGACCACCTGCAGGGCCTGTACGGGCTCAGCGCCGTGCAGACCATGCACATGAACCACTGGACGCTGGGGTACCCCAACGTGCACGAGATCGCGCGCTCCACCATCACCGAGATGGCCGCGGCGCAGGGCCTCGTGGACGCGCGCTTCCCCTTCCAGGCCCTGCCCTTCACCACGCACCTCTTCCACCCCAAGCAGGGGGCCATCGCCCACGTGCTCCCCGCCCTGCACAAGGACCGGCCCCGTTTTGACTTTGCCAACTTGGCCGTGGCCGCCACGCAAGAGGACCCCCCGAAGATGGGAGAGCTGAGCAAGCTGAGCCCCGGGCTGGGGAGCCCCATCTCGGGCCTCAGTAAATTGACTCCGGACAGAAAGCCCTCCCGAGGGAGGCTGCCCTCTAAAACGAAAAAAGAGTTTATCTGCAAGTTTTGCGGCAGACACTTTACCAAATCCTACAACTTGCTCATCCACGAGAGGACCCACACGGACGAGAGGCCCTACACCTGCGACATCTGCCACAAGGCCTTCCGGAGGCAAGACCATCTGCGCGACCACAGGTGAGCCGGGAGGGTGGCGCGGGAGGGAGGCGAGGGGAGCTGGTCCAGGACACCGCAGCCCCGTGGACATTCCCAGCGTCGCCCAAACGCCCTCTGAACCAGGGTGCGCCCCCAGAGCCCTCCCGGGCCAGCGTCCACCGGCCACCCTTAGGCAGTCCAGACCCGGTGGGTGGCTTTCGGTGCTGTGACTGGTTTCTCAGTTTCCTCCAGGTCGCCCTTGGGGTGGGGCAGGTGAAGCCTAGGCGCCCCAAACCCCACAAGGGCAGCCTTGAGACCATTCCTGGAAACCCACTAGGGCCACCCCACTGGGTTCCCTCCCCTCCCTACCTCCTAACCCCCACGCCACGGTGCACCCCAGAGCCTCACACCGCGACCTTCCTTGTAACTTTATTTGTGGAGGTCTTGAGATCACTGAATTTAAACAGTTACCCCCCGGTCCCCCACCTCCACCCAGGACGGTAAACTCCGCATTAAGCAGTGGCAGTTGGAGAAATTACTATAAACAGAAATGTTTTCGCCCTGTAAAATCTTCCCGGGACTGGGGATTGGGTATCTCTTCCGATGCCACTTGCTGTTACCTAAGGTCTGCGGGCTGGTAAGGGAGTCGCCAAAGTCAGCCCCCCTCGCCCCGTCCCGGCCTTGATTTTGCCAGTTTAAATCCCAGGCAAAAGCACCGAGACTAAGGAGGACTCCCTCGGCAGGACTTAGAGCTCCGGAAGAGCCGGAGAGGGCAGTCAAGTGTGCATAAAACCCACGTCCAGGGAATGTGTGCAAGGGTCTGTTAGTTGAGGTTAACCATAAACAGAATTACACAGGGGAAAAAATACAATCTAAAAACGTACATAATGGGCATCCTATTTCTTTGGTCCTTTTATGGCTTCGGTTTCAGTAATTGTCAAAAAAGAAACTCCCCACCGTGGTGGTAAAGCCGTTTCAATGAAGCCTTATGTTGATTTTCAGGTATATTCATTCCAAAGAAAAGCCGTTCAAATGTCAGGAGTGTGGGAAAGGATTCTGTCAGTCTAGAACTCTAGCAGTTCACAAAACTTTACACATGCAGGTAAGCTTGTTTTCTTGTTAAAAAAAAAAAAAACAGTGGCTGGTTCCGTTTTATCCTGTTTGCTCTACAAAAGGTGTTCGGTGGCAGAGTGTTTCTCTGGAAAGGACTCTCTTTAGATCAGTTTTCTAGGCGGGGAAAGCAGCACTCCGCGTTGTTGCTGTTTTTTTTCTTTAATACATAAAATGAATCCTATTTAACATAAAACAGTTTTATATTTCCTTAAAGAACGGGCCACTCTCTTTATTCTAAATCCTAATTTGAGAATTATTATTTTTTTCATCCGATCTGCCCTGCATGTAAGGCTTTCGTGTCTGGGAGGAAATAAAGGTAATTTTGATAATGGAGGCGCGGTGAAATCCCATATGCTCTCTCTCCCAGGGGCCTCATAATTTGTAGTTTTCAGAACATTGAGGAATAGTTTAATTTCCCAGCAAAGAGGAGACTTATTACCCGGGAGAATGTCGTTCCTTAAGGGAGGATTAGGGTTTTTCCTTCCCCCCTTTTCCTGCCCGAGACACGGCGATGACATGTCGTAGAGCCCACGGCGGCGACCACACAGTTATCAGTGGGATCGGCCTCGGTGTGGGCCTGAGAGTGTGTGTCAGTGCCTGGGGGACTAAGGGCGCAGATCTGTCCCTGCAGGCCCCCTCTTTTGTTGTGCGTGTGTTATGTGATACCAATAAGACAACTATTGAGAAGGGTGCGGTGGTGGTGTGAAGGATTAATCCTTTGCTTGCTTCACATCTGAACAGGAATCTCCACACAAATGTCCCACATGTGGAAGAACCTTTAATCAGAGAAGTAATCTGAAAACTCACCTTCTCACCCATACAGACATCAAGCCCTACAGCTGCGAGCAGTGCGGCAAAGTGTTCAGGCGAAACTGTGATCTGCGGAGGCACAGCCTGACTCACACCCCGCGGCAGGACTTCTAGAGAAGCCCAGGATCTGTCCCGTGCCCCCCCCCGCCCCC